TAAATCGTTTGGCTTCTCCGCTTTTACCGTCTTCTTCAACGCCGCGACTGATGTAGCATCGTCAATGTTCACCTCAAACGACGCATTACTTGCCGCACCAACAATCGCACACAACTTAACCCGAGCTGGTAGATTCTGGAATGTGGAAGGTGAGAGGGAGGTTTCAGGCGTACTTTAGCGAACATGGTGGTGTGACGCAAATAATAAACCAATGGTTAGACACCAAGGCGAATCCTTGATGTAAAAATTTGTTCCATTGCTTTTAATAGTAGTTTCAGCGCTGGAAGATTGCGTCGCCATAATAGCACTTCAAGGAGGTCTATTTTTATTATTATATACAAAAGACTTATCAATTTGCTTGGCTAAATTAATCTGTGCTACTGTACTGTATAGCTTTTTCCTTTTCTTTTCTTCTTTTTTTTGCCGTTTTTAGCCGACATTTTTGGCCAAACAGCGGTCTTGTAGGGGTTCGGGCTCACACTTTGTCCCCGTTTAAACTTCAACTCTCGCTGAAAATTGCGTTTTGAACCCTTCACGCGTGGCATCATATCTCAATGGGTACTTCAATGCAATAGTTGAAACTTGGACCACATCTGCAGAACAGGCAGAACCCATTGCATATCAAGTGATTACACTTGCAGAGCCCTGTATCACCTTAACGCTTGCCCGGTCTCCCAGCACACTGCTGCGTCGTTTCGCAACGGGCAGATCGTGTAGGGCGGACCACACTCTTGGTCAATGGGTTGAAAAAAGGCTGCCCTCTCATGCCACATCGTGAAATTAATACCACTGGCCTCTCAGGTCTCGCAGATGACACAGGAGACTCCACAATACCACAAATCTTCGGCCACACTGGCCTTGGGTTTGTCAAAATCCCTCTCCGACAGGTAACTTCGTCTCCACCGACACTGTGCGAGTGCAAAGACATCGGATGGGACTTGTTTGGCGCCTTCGGCTTCCTCACGACCCGAAGAAAAGCTCTCCCAGGAATTGAGATATCAATATTGACGCTTCCAGACGTGCGACAGCAAAACCGATTTGACCAGCCGGATCAATTTGACACGCCGCTCGATAGTATCAGACACACCTTTGAGCCGCTCGCGCAGCCCAAGTGAGGAAACGTGTGTTGTTGTGATCTGACTTCTTCCGTCAGCGAGAGCTCACGGACCCCATGTCTACTCGCAATCTGAGTCGCTTCTCGATACAGAGAACGCAACCATTGGAACTGCGT